CTGTTCATAAGTTGATAGTGTCTAACTTTCAGTGGATTTGGCTGCTGACTAGTAATCTCTGTGTGAGTCGCTATCCGTGGTGCTGAACTCAACTTTCAGTTCCCATAACAGGGTGCAAAACAAGTATGTTGTTTAAGTGCACAGTGTTTTCAGTGCATTCACACATATTTTTGGTTACAACTTTTCAACATTATGTGAGTAATTTCATAATTTACCCTCAAGAAAACTTTTGATCCACTCTTTATATTGACTTTGATTTTTAGATAGAAAAAAAGTCACAGATGGTATTTCAGCATTTACCACATAAAAATAACTCGCTGTCATTCTGAAAAGCTTTTGCTTTAAATAACGGTTAATTTCTAAAGGATGCTGTTTCTGAATAGGTTTGTCATATTATATGAATTGCAGAAATCAGTGTGCCAAACGTTTTCCTTTATAATTTGACTCTTTGATGTTTTTGCATTGCCTCGTGTTTAGAGGGAATCGAGTATGTACATATTTCTGATGTGATGAAGTTTGATGTAGCATGTAATTATGACGTATGTCCACATGGGGACACTATAGACCATCACATTTGGACGGTTTCTTTATTAGCTCAGGGCTCCTCCCAGTCAGCGGATCATGCATCTGTGGGCTTTGTTACAAAGAGACGTCGGGCCACAAAGAACGGTCGTCTTGTTTGCTCGTGGAAATGCCAAAATATTTAATTGGAATACTTCTTCCTTGATTTTGTTCTTGTGGTCGTTGTAACATGTTGTTCTAGTTTGCCCATATGCTCCTTCTCGATGTGTGGAATAATGCATTTGCCGAGCAGAAGGAGCTGTGTGTGGATATATCTCCTGTTCGTGCTGCTGGATTGTTACTGGGAAGCGGTGTCTGGGCAGCTCTCTTACTCCGTCTCAGAGGAGGTGAATCTGGGGACTGTTGTCGGAAATATCGCCAAAGATCTCAACATCAATGTCCAGGATTTGGAGTCCCGCATGTTTCAGATCGTTGCTGGATCAAAGAGAAAATATTTCGAGGTAAATCTTAAGACTGGTGTCCTGTATGTTAATGAGAGGATAGATCGAGAGGAACTCTGCGGCGATGAACCAAAATGTTCCCTCAGTGTAGAAGCAGTGATTAATAACCCTTTAAAACTGTACCGGATTGAAATTATAATCTTAGATGTAAATGATAATTCCCCGTCATTTCTCAGCACGTCGCAGGTTTTCAACATTACAGAGAGCACAGCAGCAGGAGCTAAATTTCCTCTGCACCCTGCTGACGATGCAGACGTCGGTAAAAATACTGTAAACAGCTACAAGCTGAGCCAAAATGAACACTTCTCTCTCGTCACACATAAAGGAGAGAGTATATCTCCCGAATTACAGCTTCAGAAAGTTTTAGACAGAGAAAAACAGTCTGTGATCCGACTCATACTGACTGCTATTGATGGAGGAACTCCTGCTAAATCTGGCACTATGGTTATTATAGTTAATGTGCTGGACATTAATGATAACGCTCCAATGTTTAGTCAAACTCTGTATAAAGCCAGTGTGTATGAGAACGCCAAGATTGGAACATCGATAATAACATTAAATGCTACTGATTTAGATGCAGATCAAAATGGACAAGTTTTATATTCGCTCAACAAAGTAGGCCGAGGGAAAGAAACTGATCTGTTTGCTATAGATGAAAAAACTGGAACTGTAACAAATAAAAAGAATATCGACTTTGAAGAAAATAATGCTTTTGAGATTCGAGTACAAGCCAGTGATGGAGCTTCTCCTCCTCTCACCTCACATGCCAAATTATTGATTGAAGTTTTAGACGTCAATGACAATGCCCCTGAAATTTCAGTGACATCACTGTTAAATAGCGTAAAAGAGGATGCGTCCATTGGCACCGCCATTGCACTAGTTTCAGTATCTGATAAAGACGGAGGTAAAAATGCGATGGTGAACTGTAAAATCTCCAATAATGTTCCGTTCAAATTGGAGTCAAATTATAAAAA